TGATGGTTTTGAAAATGATAAGTTTACTCTCGGGGTATTCATAGATTTATCCAAGGCATTCAACACCGTTGATCACTCTATTCTGTTAGAAAAACTAAAATGGTACGGGGTATGCAATAAATTGTATCATTGGATAAAAAGTTATCTATCTAATAGAAAACAATATGTTCAAAACAAGAAATCTGGAATACTGAATATTCTGTGTGGAGTGCCTCATAGATCGATCCTAGGACCGCTCTTATTTTTAATTTATGCTAATGTTTTTAATAATGCATCATTAAAACTAAATGTTATCATATTTGCAGACGATACAAATCTATTTTTATTTAACTGCAATATTATTCAACTTTATGCTGACATGAACATTGAATTAGAAAAAATAAATGATTGGTTCAGGTCAAATAAACTTTCTCTTAACGTTGAAAAAACACAATATACCTTGTTTCATAAAAAAACACAAGAAGAAAACCTTTCTCTAAAACTGCCAAAACTTATTATAAATTATAAACAAATTAAAAAACAAGATACTATAAAGTTTTTAGGAGTTATTGTGGATGATCATTTATCATGGCTCCCACACATAAAATATATACAATCAAAAATTAGTAGAACCATTAGTATTATGCATCGAACTCGCCCATACTTAAATTTACATAGTCTATATATATATATATATATATATATATATATATATATATATATATATATATATATATATATATATATTATATATATATATATTATATATATATATATATATATATATATATATATATATATATATATATATATATATATATATATATATATATATATATATATATATATATATATATATATATATATATACATTACTATATGTTCTTTATTCACTATATGTATTTTTAAATATTATATCTTCTTTTTTGAAAAATTGAGGGTGTTTTTACTTTTAATTGATACATCTTTTTTCTCTATTTTTATTCTTAAATATTATATCTTCTTTTTTTACTATTTCTTTTTTTTTTCCCTAAATTTTCTACTTGATTTATTAACCATGTATTACCATATATTATTGTTATGATCTGTAGGGGCTCTATGAAAAGATTAGGTTGGTATTTCGCCATCCATATCTTTTTTGAGCCCATGACTGTTTATTACTTGTACATTTGTAATTATATTTTATTTTTGGTGAAAGGAAATTGTAATTTATATAAACAGCAAAATAAAATAAAATTCACGAATAAAAGTCACGAATCTATCTTAATAAGAAAGTCTTAATCCAACTTTATTATTCATTTATACATAGTTATTTAAATTATGCCATTATTGCTTGGGGAAGTACAGAAAAAATTAAATTGCAACGTCTTTATCTCCGTCAGAAATGCGCAATCCGTATAATCAATTTTGCAAATCGCTTTTCTCATTCGAAGCATTATTTTATTGAAATGAGAGTTCTGAATATTTACGAGTTAAATGTATTTAATATTTTATGTTTTGTGTTTATGTGGATAAATAACTTATCCCTAGCCGTATTCAAAAATCGTTTCTCTTTTAAACCAGCCAGTAAATATATTTTGAGAAATAATAACTTTTTAAATGAGCCTTTCTGTCAAACAAACTTTAATCAATTTTGTATTACCTATCGAGCGCCATACCTTTGTAATAAAATTGTTTCGGCGAATTTTAATTTAGAAGTACCTATTACTTTTTGCCTTTTTAAAAAAAAACTGAAAAACCTCATTCTTTCATTAGATAATATATTGAGTTATTATAAGTAGTAAAAACTAAAAATATATTTTGATCTATTTTTTTTTTGTTTATAGAAGTTTTATGTTTATAGAAGTTTATTCTTACTTATTTTATTTATTGTTCTTATACTTTTTACTTTTTAATTTATATATTGGTTTACTCTTGTATTAAAATCTGATGAGAAGATCCTCTTGATCTTTCTTCAGATACAGATTGTTTGCCTTGCAATTTTTTAAAAGTTTATAAATTTTTTTTTTTAAAATCTTATATTTGTTAAATGCTTTTTTAAGGTTCTGACGACAAGATCCTTGCAATCTTCTTTCAGATACCTTGTTTACGTTTGTTATGTTTTATGCCATTGTAAGTTTTTATTATTTATATTATGGGCTGTACAACGATTAACAAATGTAAACCAAAAAAAATAAATAAATAAATAAAAATCAATTATATATTTTAAGAAAGCGTTTAAATTTAAAAATAAATGAAAACTAGTAAAATGAAAAATGAATTTTTATAAAACTAATAAATAAATGACTTATTACTAAATAACTACAGTACTACTGTAATAAAAACTGTAACAATAACTACAATAACTACAGTAACAAGAACAATAACTACTGTAATATATTACATACCTTTATTTTTTGTTCTTATTAATAAGAACAAAAAATAAAGGTATCGCAAATAAAAATTGCCGCCCTGTAAACATACATAAATGTAACAACAAAAGTAACTAGCTTGTTTGGTTCTTGTTTGTTTTGCTCAAAAAAACCATTACCGCAAAAAACGTGATTACTAAATTAGTTATATTTTTTTAAATTGTCCCTGATTTATATTTTTTTTAAAAATGTCTTTTTACCTATCAATCATATAATAATTTAATAGTTTAATGAAAAAAAATATAAAGTATAAAAAGTATTTAAAAATTTTACGATGAATTATTTTTTTCGGAATAGCACGTGTTTAAGCTAGATCATGTTGTTAAATTTTAAGATAATCTTTCCTCTCTATAATAATAACAACAATAACAATAGCAATAATAGTAATACTATCATTTAAGACGATATTAAAACTTTTATTATAATCTTTAAGAATTGAATTATTAATAATATTAAAAAATAAACAAAACTAATAGTAATAAAAAATATTAATAGTAAATAACATCATATTAATAAAATTATGTTACTATTATTATTACTATGAGTTTTGTTTATTTATAGTGTTATTATAATTTTTAAGGAAGATATCTTGTATACCAAATTATAAATCAATGTTAAATTGTTATAAAATTGACGTATGCTTAAATGTTTTTTACTAAACAGAAGTAATGTCTTTTAGCACCAAAAATGTTTAAGAATGTTCATCACTTTATAAAATGACTCATACATACTAGCTTCATTATTTTAAACATCAATCATGTCATTATATTCTTAAACTTTAACTTAATACAAAGTTTTGAACTGGTCAGAACCACTAATAGATTGGGCTTGAATTCTCCAAAATTTAGTTATAATAAAGTGCTGCAACAGGTTTTCCTGTATAACCTATCGGTTATGGCACTTCATAATTAAGTTTATATTTAAATCTACTATAATATTTGAAATATAAAGTTGCACTTTAGTTTTTTCTTTTTTTTTTCCTTTTCTTTTAGTTAAAATGTTGATACTTATGTAGGTTATTTGAAGTTTTTGTATTGAGCTGAGCTATAAAACTGTTAAAAGATACAGTGCATATAAGGTGCCTATTGTCCCAGTTTATGCCCAGGAGAGCGCTGGGACAATAGGCACCAAAACTGGGACAATAGGCACCAAACTAGTTAATATTAGTTTAACCAAACTAGTTAATATTAGTTTAGCGCTGCACTCTCCTATGTAAAAACCGGGGCAATGGTCTCCCTAAATGCATACAATGTCTGATGGCAATGGGTTCCAATGATTCACTACTCAATTTGTGAAAAACTGATGCCTGAAAATATGAAGGATATGGGGTTCACTCCATAAAACAATGTCTATTTTGTTAATGATTTTAAATGTTTTATCAGTCTTCTCTAATTTCACAAGTTTCTAAAGAAGTTAAGTTCAGTAGACTCAGTCAGTCTTTGTATGTTGACAGTAAGAAGGTATTGAAAAGTAGTTTGTCTTTATACTTTCTCAATATATATTCTTGATGATGGATTGGTGGCTGCTACAGCAAATTCTAGATGAGGTTGTACAAGCATATAAAGACTTTTAACTAGTTAGGGATTCATGTGGCTGAACATTCAATACAACCTGCCTAGAATACAGTTAGATTTATTGGTTGCATAGGCTGAAATCTTATGCCATTTAAAGTCTGGCATAATCATGATGCCTAAATCATGGTTAATGCAAGCTTGATGCTATTATTTTTATAGATAACATTGAGTAGACATTATATATTGTTATATTTATGGGCATTTTTTTACATTTGTAGATATTTTAAAGTTTTTGTCAGGCTAATAGGTGTTTTAAATGAGCCATGAGTTTTGTGTCATCAGTATAATTTTTACATGACTGATTAACAATATTGAGTTTATTGTTTACAAAAATGATGAATAAGATTAAACCCAAGACAAATCCTTTAGAGATGCCCACTGAACACCTCCACCCATGAAGACGCTCAATCATTGATCATGATTTGTTAAAATCGCTGGTATACCAATATTATCCAATTTTGGAGAGTACCAGTGAAACCATATACCTTGAGTTTGTTAATTAGTCATTTGTGTGGAACCATATTAAACACTTTACTGAAATCTACATTACTGAAATCTACTTTACTGAAGTATGAGTGTTACATCCTTAGATACCTTGTCAGATAACACTTTTAACATCATGTTAATCAACTATAAAAGAGTGTGTAACAATAAATTAGTTACGCACACTTTTTTATTAATGAATCTATATTGTTTTTTTTTTAAAAAAAAGGCATGCTTGAATAATTTGTTAACCATACTATCACATATTTTCTTCATTACTATACATACAATTGATATTAAGGATATTGGTCGTTTATTATCTGAGTCAAGTCTACATCCTTTTTTTTTTTGAACAGTGGTGTTACATTAGTGTTTTTCCATATTTAATATAACATATTTCCAATAATGATTTATTAAAATTTATTTGAAAATATATATAAAAAAAGCTTATTAACTTTTTGTTTTCTATAAAAAAAAAAGAGAAAAAGTTAAAAATTAAATTTTTTAATCTACAAATGAAGTTTTAAAATTTACTGGTTCTTGATATTTTTTTTAGTGAAAAGTTATATAGTAAGAAGGAAAACTGCTTTTAATATACGAAGTTGCCGACAATAAATAAATAAAGTTTAAAAGAAAAAAGAATAAAATAGTTAGAAGTTTCTTAAATCTGTCAATCAATAGTTTTATTTAACTATAATGAGGATATTTTACTGCATTCGTATCAATTACTGTTGAAGCTGTTTTGAAGCTGTTTTGAAGCTATTTGAAAAAAAAAGTTAATGGTATTTTTATTGATTATACTTGTTTTTTTTAAATTTGTAATGAGTCAACACCATTTTAAATAAAATGTTAATTTTATTTAAAATGGTGTTGACTCATGGATGTAGTGCAATAATAGTAATGATGCTGTTTTTAGTTTTTATTAAACTGAAAAATCTTTGTGTTGGTTTGTGTTGTAGTTAGCCACATTTTAATCTATATAAAATGAATTTTTTAACAGTAATTAATTACTTTTTTAATCACTAGGCAAATTAGTTGTTATAATTACTTTTACAACTACTTTAGATTATTTTAGACAGTTAGGCCAGGCATTTATTTTGGCTTATTTATTTTAAACTAGTCATTCAATCAAACTTTTTTATTTTTAAATAAGTTAATACAGCTAAATAATTTGTTATTTATTACATATATAAACATAAGATATCATGAACAACTGCTAGTGAGTTTCTTTAGTTTCAAAAAAAAAAGTGTTTGCATCAAAAAATTGACATTTACTTGATTATTCATAACATTAATTTAATTATTCATAAAAAATTAAGAAGTAATTGTATGCTAATTTGCTACCAATTAATAATTAATTGTAGTTAATTACTGAAATAGATTTAATTTACCTAAAATTAAAATTATTCTGGTTCATATAGTTATTTTTATTATTTGTGGTGATTATGACTGGTCCTGACTGATTCTATATTGAAGAAAGGGAGGCTCCTTAGCTGTAATAAAGGTAACATATTTAAGAGAGAGAGAGAAAACTCTGATATAAAAACCCAGTTTTAATGTGAGTTCCCCCAACCTATAGGGAAACACATAAAACTAGCACAAGTGCGAATTGGCATTAGTGCGCTGAAAGAATTTGCAAATATTGGCATAAGTGCAAATTGCATAAGTGCAAACTGGCATAAGTGAGAAGCAGTTTTAAAAACTGGCATAAGTGCGAATCGGCATAAATTGCGAACTGGCATAAGTGCACCAAATAAATTTGCTAGCATTCGTATAAGTGCGAACTGGCATAAGTGCGCCAAAAGAATTTGTTAACATTGGCATAAGTGCGAATTGGCATAAGTGCGAATTGGCATAAATGCGAAATGCCAATTTGCACTTATGTTAATATTTGCAATTTTATTTAGCGCACTTATGCAAATTCACTGTAATGCCAGTTCGCACTTATGCCAGTTTTTGTAATTGCTTTGCACTTTGTACCTCTAGGTACAAAGTGCAAAGCAATTACAAAAACTAGCATAGATGCTTGCAAATTTATTCAACACACTTATATCAATTCGCACTTATGCCAGTTTGCACTAATGCCAGTTTTTGCAACGCTTTGCACATATGTCAGTTCCAACTTATGAAATTTGTGCTTATTCAGCCTCCCATTAATATTATAGTTGCACCTTATAAGTGACACAGTTAATCAAATTATGCATATCAACATGGGGATACAGGAAAAATTATTTGCTTTAAACTGTTAAAGCGCTTTTAAATTAATTTGAACTATTGAGGCACTTCTATTTAAAAAAATATCTGTTTGATACTTTTTTTCTCTCCAGTTAATCCTTTATTTATTTTATCACTTGATAAGTTTGTTTTAATTTTATTTATGGTTTGTTTTACATATATATATATATATATATATATATATATATATATATATATATATATATATATATATATATATATATATATATATATATGTATATATATATATATATATACATATATATATATATATATATATATATATATATATATATATATACATATATATATATATATATATATATATATATATATATATATATATATATATATATATATATATATATATATATATATATGTATATATATATATATGTATATATATATCATCATATATATATATATATATATATATATATATATATATATATATATATATATATATCATATATATATATATATATATATATATATATATATATATATATATATATATATATATTTATATATATATATAAAATATATAAAGCATCAATAAGTACGAATTCTCTTGATACTCATTTTTTTATTTAAAACCATAGTATTGAGAGAATTCGTATTTATTGATGTTCATATATTAAATTTATTCAACTCTCATACAAGATGTTATCATTTATATATATATATATATATATATATATATATATATATATATATATATATATATATATATATATATATATATATATATATATATATATATATATATATATATATATATATATATATATATATAATATATATATATATATATATATATATATATATATATATATATATATATATATATATATATATATATATATATATATATATATATATATATATATATATATATATATATATATCAGACCTTGTTATGAGATTTTGTTGCGTAATGGAAAAGCATAACAGAATAAATGCAGCTTCACTCAATAAAGATATTTACATCATTGAAATTTTAAATTACCTCATTGTAACTAAATTTAAAATCACATTAATAATTGTTGTAAGTCTTTATGTTTATGAAATATTTTTAAATTAACAATACTGTTTAAAAAATATATATATTTATTATATACGTATTTATTAATGTTCATATATTAAATTTATTCAACTCTCATACAAGATGTTGTCATTTATATATATATATATATATATATATATATATATATATATATATATATATATATATATATATATATATATATATATATTTATATATATATATATATATATATTTATATATATATATATATATATATATATATATATATATATATATATATATATATATATATATATATATATATATATATATATATATATATATATATATCAGACCTTGTTATGAGATTTTGTTGCATAATGGAAAAGCATAACAGAATAAATGCAGCTTCACTCAATAAAGATATTTACATCATTGAAATTTTAAATTACCTCATTGTAACTAAATTTAAAATCACATTAATAATTGTTGTAAGTCTTTATGTTTATGAAATATTTTTAAATTAACAATACTGTTTAAAAAATATATATATAAATAAAATGTAAATTTTGTTTAAGTAAAAAATACATTTCTTTATTTTAAAATCTTAACTTAATAAAATTTTTTTTTCTTTCTTTAAAACATTTGTTTTATGGTTATTATTTTCTTTAATGAGGGAACACGTGTTTGTGGTTGAATTTCTTAAAGGAATTTAAATGTACTTACTAAAGTTTTTTAAACGGTTTACACAACTATACTATTAGATTGGGTTTTCAACTTTAAAAAAAAGTTCGCGCTACCTAAAACATTTTATATGAACTGGCTTTTAACAAAATAAAATTTGTAATTAAACAAAGATTACCGCTTTTCTGCTTTGTTATGCAAAAGTTTGTAAAATGCAAAACTCATAAACATTTTTATTCGTCATTCAGTTTATAATCAATTAAAAAAATTAATGATAAAGAAAAAACTTTTGTTAAAAAGTAATTTCAAAACTGAAATCTAAAACAAAGTTATATGTAACACTAACATTTTAAAGTAACTTAAATTGAATTTAATAATTTTTTTTTTTTACTTTAACATAGTTTGAAAATTTTAGCAGAAAAAAATTGTAAAACTAAAGTAATGTAAAACTTAAGTAATAAACTAAATAAACAATGTAAAGCGTTTTAAAATTTTTAAAACAATTTTAATAATAATAAATTTAATAAAACAAACTTACATTTTATTAAATTTAACAATAAATTTTATTTAAATTTAATAAAATAAAATAATAACATTTTTTAAAAAAAAAAATGAAAAATAGGAAAAAGTTTATTTATCTGTTTTTTTATCTAATATAAAAATATTCCACAGATGTTTTTTGCAACAATTAATTACAACCTAATGTTTTCTGCCTAATCTTTTCTAATAAAAGACAATTAATTAAACTAATTGAAAAAAGTTTTAGCGTAACTTAAATTGCGAAAACGCATACGTGAAATTGTAAATACGTACTTAAAATTCAAATAGTGTAACGCTTCTTAACAAGATCTAATATATATATATATATATATATATATATATATATATATATATATATATATATATATATATATATATATATATATATATATATATATATATATATATATATATATATATATATATATATATATATATATATATGTATATATGTATATGTATATATTAAGGGTGTACCGATGCCTACTTTAGGCTAATGCCGATGGGTACAGGCCGATGCATCTGGATCTGCCCTGAAATTGTATATATAATGGAAATATACACTTGAATAGAAATGCCACATTGTGACAATGTTAGCAACATTTTCATGTGACATTGTTAGCAACAATTTCATGTGACAATGAAAGCAACATTTTGAAATTGTTACTGTTCATTTTCCTGTTATTTTTTTATTGTTATCTTGACAATTAGAGCAATTACTTCAATTAAAAAGCTCGTTTTATAAATATTTACTTTTGTCATTCTGTTTGAATTAGAATGATTTTATTTTATAAAGAACGAATGGTGTCGTTACTTTTAATAATTGGCAAGTTTGGCAAAAACAATAATTGGCAAATGTTTCTACGAAATTAAATTACAAAACAATACTTATATTAAATGTTTATATAAACACTTTTAGTTTAATAATAAACTTTTTTATTATTTAATTGTAATATAAATGTAGTGAAACATTTTGATTGTAAAGAATAACTGAAAGAGTTTTAAAAAAAACTTTGTTTAAAGCAATTTTCTGTTCAATTTTCAATATTCTCATTTACTCAAAGTATAGTTACAAATAAACTTTTATTTCTCTCATCTAAAAAAAGAACGAGTTATGCAAAAAAAAAAAAAAAAAATCTATAAAATTCTTATTCATTCAAAGTTTTATTACCTGAAACTTTTCTTTCTCTTTTGTTCTACTCATTTATGAAAAGAGCACGCTATGACATAAAACTTTTCTTTCTTAACATAGAATTAAACTTAGAGAAAATGAAATTAGAAATAAATCCAAAATGAGCAAAGCAACTTAAAGTCCAATCTGAAACTATTTTGATATTGATGAAAATAATTGCTCAAAAGCAATTTTAAATTTTGCAAAATAAAAATATCAAGAGGAACATCTGGCAAAAAAAATGACAACATCCAATTTAAGAGGGCATATCGTCTCCTCAGTATTATCTTGTTCTATCTACAAATGTAATAAATAAATTGTTTAATCTAATATGTAAAATAAATACAAAAAAGTATATATATATAAATAAATACAATGTTCTATGTAATATACTATAATATTTATATATATATATATATATACATATATATATATATATATATATATATATATATATATATATATATATATATATATATATATATATATATATATATATATATATATATATATATATGTTTGTATTTATTTTATATATTAGATAGAACATTTTATTTATTACATTTGTAGATAGTGTTACAGTTACTCTAGATCAAAAACATTAATCTAAGCTTGAGGAAATTATTAATTATAGGAAATAGACTTCAAGTGAACAAAGAGCTTAAAAAATGCTTATTTGAGAAATGATATGCGTAGACATTCAGCCATATTCTTTAGTTTCAGATCAAAGATTTTACAAACTAATTATGCATCTTGAATCAAGGTATACCATGCCCTCTAGAAAACTTATGACCGAAACAGTTGTTCCTTTAATTTATGAAAAAATGAAAATACAAATTATGAATGATGTAGCAAAAGTAGATTTTTTGAGTTTCACCACTGACAGATGATCTGCACATCACAATGATCTTTTATTCATTAACAGCATACTGGATAAACTCAAATTTTAATTCTGTGACAGCTATGCTACAACTTAAAAAAATAACAGGCTCTCATACAGGTGTAAAGATATCAAAGTTTCTAAAAGACTCTTTAAATGAATGGAAAATACCAACTAACAAAGTGTACTTGGCCTTCCTCGACAATGTTGCTAATATGAAATAAGCCATAAAAGAAGCTGGTTTAGAAAAAAATTCTCCAAGTTGTAATCCACACTCTTCAGCTTTATATAACTGGTAAGCTTTTCAAACAGCAAACAACTGTAAATGATCTTATAACTAAGTCTTGAAAAATTGTCACACACTTTTCATCATTCTTTGTCTTCCATGGACATGCTACATGAAATTCAATAACAGCTGAAGTTACTTCCAACATTCACTTATACAAGGTATAGTAATAAGATGGAACTCAACATTTTGCATGCTAGAAAGGCTAGTTGAAAAATGAAGAGAAAGACACTATAAATTCAAGAGCAATGCATGAACGTAAATAAAACTGATATTACAGGTTGCCTTTTAACTACCGACAACTTAACTCAAACAAACACTTCATCTAAACCAACCCAAGAACCTAGCTCTCCACTCAAAAAATTAAAAATGGCAGAAGACATTTCCAATTTTTATCAAGTTTTAAAAGCACCTCTTAACACTGAATTAACAAAATCAACAAAGTAAAGAACTGTAAATAAACTTTCAACAAAGAAACAAATTTATTCAGAGAAAAAGTAAAAAATGTAAGTTAAAATGATTTTTTTAAATATGATTTTTGATAGCTTATTGTTCTTGTCTAATTTATATTAAATTATTATAGATAAAACTAAATTCTAAGTTTATTATAAACTATTATATAAATTATGGATATAGAAATAAAATAATAATAATAATATTCATTAATATTTAACAACTTTTAATAATAAAAATTAGTATAGTTTAGTTTTTATATTTTTTATTTACTTTTCTTTTTAAACTGATGAAACAAACTTTTACTTATCACTGCCTAATCTGCATCAAAAAGAATGTCCATATAAAACAGTTAAAAGAATGTCAACAAGGAAATTACAAAAATACATTTATAACAATAGCAGTGTTCAAAAAAATAAAATTTTTAAAACCCAAATACACAAGAAGCCAATTTTGGGGTTAGTATTAAAAAAATACAAAAAAAATGTTCCAAAAATTGACATTTACCTTATGCTCAAGCGACAAAATCCCCTGAAAAATTCCCCAAATTGTTCCTAAATTATTTGGCTTTGAGCGCAAAGTAAATCCCAATATTTTGTAAATCTTTTTTTCTAATGTGATCATAATGGTCCAAAGTTTATTTTTAGGTTGTGTATCCTAGTTTTTTCATAATTGTTGTTTAAATTAAAAAAATATTTTGCAAAAAAGTAATTATATAAATTTTATTTTTTTGAACACCCCTAATAAAGAAAACTCTAATAGCAATAATATTTTCGACCTCATACATTGCCAAAAAATATTTAGGAGCTCCACCTTCTGTGTTCAGCTAAAGATTATTTAATGTTGGCGGAAATATTTTTGAGTCAACACGATCCTGACTAACTGCAGAGCATGTAGAACAGCTAGCTTTTGTGCATGCAAATTTGAAATTTTTTGGAAAAATGGAAGCAAAAAAATAGATTTACAGTTTTATATAACATATTTTATTACTTTTCATAACATTATAAAAATTTATATTTATATTTAACATGACACAATTTTTTTGTTGACCTCAAAGACTTTATGGTTATATATATATATATATATATATATATATATATATATATATATATATATATATATATATATATATATATATATATATATATATATATATATATATATATATATATATATATATATATGTGTGTGTGTGTATGTATATATATATATATATATATATATATATATATATATATATATATATATATATATATATATATATATATATATATACACATAAGATAAAATTTTTCATTTATTTTTGTCGTTGAAGAGTGCATTTTTTTATTTTTTATTTTTTTTTTATTTATATACATTTTATTAAAAAAATTACATGTATAATCAAATAAATAATATAAAAGTATAATAGTAGTTTAGTTCTTGTTTTGAATCATGTTTTAATTTAAATTTTCTTTGTTTATTTTCTATATGAATTATTTTGATTTTCTATTAATTTCTTTAACATGTGTAGCTCGTAACATTTTATTATAGATTTGCATTCTGGTATAGTCAAATAAGGAATCATAGAAAACAAGAAAGCTCTTCTTTAGTTTTGCTGATATGGTAAGTATCATAAAATTTGTGACTTTGTAGTATTATGCTAGTATAAGGCATTATAAGATTGTATAAAGCAATAACGAATATTTATTTATTTATAATAGAATAATTCTAAATAAGCAATAGCTTATTTAGATTCTTCTTCTTTTTCTAGAAATCAGCATTCATTTTTTTTGAAGGAACAAATAGCTTGCATTTTTTTATTTTTTTGAGCTCTTTCTCATCTTCATGCTTTCTTGACTCATACAACTACATCATTTCAAGTCTTCAGTCAATCATTTCCTAGCTTTTTAACTCTATTCTTTATTTTTTGGTAATCCCAACTTAACATTGGTTGCTTGCAGCCTTGTTGCGAGTAAATTTGATTTTTTTAAAAAAAGGCCTGAAGCTGTCTGGGATAAGTATACAAAGAATTTATAATTTGACAAGCAATTTTTAGGTGTTCCAAAAATGCAAGCTCTCTGTTACTTCAAAGAAAATGTTGATCTTTAGAAAAGGATAATCATCTTTTACTATTTATACAATCTTATAAGGTTTCTTTAAAGTTTTGACCTGATTTAGCCAGCTATACTCAATATTTAATTTAGTATGTAAACATCAACATTGACTGATTTTTCAATACTATCTCATAAGTTCGGCCACTATATAAATACTAATATCATATCACAAATTTAATGCCACAATTAATGAAAACTATTTTTTAAATGTTTTTTTTGTTGTAAATTACGATATAAATTCAGGTAATACCAGTAACTAAGGAGGGCGTCGAACCGGGCTCAAAAAAAAAGTATTTTGGGACACCAAATAAAACAAGATGGAACACATAAAAATAGGCCTTTTTAAATATAAGTAGTAGTATTTTAAGCTTCAAATGAGCTTTGTATATTTACTGGCAATTCTTGCATGTATTGTTGACCATAGCAGAACAGCAAGATCCACACAAACAATCATCACAAAGTTCGTATCGAATCTATAATTGTTGTTGAGCATTAATTTTATCTCCAAAAAAAATGTTACAAGCTTGACATTTTTTAGAATTCAAAGAACCGTCAAAATTGTGAATAATTTTTTTATTCAAATAAAGTACCACGGTGTGTATCGATTATAAAAATGTTAAAATTTACTGGTAAAGTTACCGGTAAACTTTACATTTGCAACACTTATCAATATTTCACAATATTACTGCTAATTGTCTCCTTCGTTGTTAATTCGTGAATGACTGAAGTTTAAGTATTTAAAAATTTCACTAATTTTATTTAGAAAAATAGTTAACTTTTAAAAATTGATTATTTTTTTATGAATATAATTAACTTGGTGATTTTTAATAATGCTAAAATTAAATATGATCATTTATTTTAATAGTTTGCTTATTTTAGATTTTAACAATTATTTAAGCAGGTTGCATATAAATATTATTAGTTTTTTTGTAGATTCATATTTACGAACTAATTACAAATATTGAGAAAAAAAAGTTTGTAATATTTTAGTTTTGCATGCTTATCTTAAATATTTTTTCTTAAATTACCGAAGTTACATTGTGACCAAACTTAGGCGGTTTTACCGTATATATATATATATATATATATATATATATATATATATATATATATATATATATATATATATATATATATATTATATACACACACACTATATTGCGTATGTAAATCAGCAATTGCTTACTATTTTTCCTTATCTTTCTTGCAAACATTAAAGAATATCTTTTAAATTATGAAAAAGAAGAAAAATACGAGGAATAAAAAAAGATTCTGAACCAATTCAAAACCCTCAGTGGATGTAGGAGTACTCTTTTGCTGCAGCAGGCTCTAAGATAATTAATGTATGTACTAAAGCCCCGGGCAGCATGACTCATGATTTCAATATGACTCCACACTACTTATATATATATATATATATATATATATATATATATATATATATATATATATATATATATATATATATATATATATATATATATATATATATATATATATATATATGTATATTTATTATAGAGAAGAAGCTTGGCCCCAAGTAAAGCACAAAGTGGCACAATTTTAAAGCGAAAAGTCTCAACTTCCCACAGCGATGATGAAGACAATGATTATAAACCTGATTTAACTATTTCAAAGGTAGGTTAATGTTTTATATATGCTATCATTTTTACTTTTTAAAATGTGTGAATTTATTTAAAAAAGTATATTGTCATAACAAATGTATTTCATATTTAAAACTATTTGTCTACATCTTAATCTGTCATTTAATGTATCTACATGCATTTTTATGTTAGCATAGTGTATTGTTTCCTCAGTAAAGTCTGCTAGAGCGAATATAGGTATACATTTGCTGGGTTTTTTTGCTGACTTTAATCCATACATACTTTTTTGGAAAAGAAGAATAAGCAAAGAGCAATGAAAAAAACCATTGCTGTCCTAGACCTTAGTCAATTTAACAGTCCTCCCTTGCATGTTCTACTTATATAGTTAGTCCATATATGTACTAACCTAGATAGTCAGTCCGTATATCTACTACACCTCATAGCTATCTTTTTCTAAATAGACAGTAATATATATGCTTATTTATATATATGTGTGTGTATATATATATATATATATATATATATATATATATATATATATATATATATATATATATATATATATATATATATATATATATATATATATATATATTAGTAGGAGTTCTTATTTTACACAGTGCTTAACGTTAATAAAGGCTCAAAAGTTAATGCTCAATTTAATAAGTTTCAATATATACAGAAAATTAAATAACAGTAAGTCATAAAATTACATTAAAACAATTACAATTACAATTACACAAATTACATGAAGTCATAAACTTTTTTGCTAATAAATGTAACTTTAACTTAACTTTGATATTTGCATTGTTAAAAGTTAATTAGAGTCATTAGCATATTTTAAAGTATTGCCTTGCAATAAAATTTTAATTTTAAACCCCATTAAAAATCATTTAAACAAGTATAACAAAAATTACAGATGAATCTTAAATTCAGTATTTGAAAAGGATTATATTTCCTTACAATTAATTTCTTGAAATAATATTATACTTAACATAATCTTTTGTTTGTTTGTTATTAATTATTATTATTATTAAATATTAAATATTTTTAATAAACAATTTATAGATAGATTTTATTAGTCGCCATAAGATATTTGTAAACATAATTTATGTTTATAAATTCCTCGACACCTTGCGCAAACTTTTTGACTGTAGGTTTAAAATAAGCTCTTTCAAATGCAAATTTTTTTTTTTTAAAGTTGTAAAATTTTGGTTGCTGTTTTTAAGGAATGATTTAACTTATTCTTCAAAAAAATTAAAATTTATTAATTTATGATACCTTATTAGTACTGTGTACTAAACTGTTGCTCAATTTATTAGGTCTTCAAATTCTAAAATATCTTTATACAAATTTCCTCGTGAAGTGTCTGAAAAAAATAAGTATTTTATGAGTATCCATCATTTATACTAGACTGTAACAAAATATAGCATTGTTTGTAAATTCCATTGGTCATATGATGCAGGTTTTACTTATGTTGTGGTAAATTGAGACTGATTCATCCTCCATCAGTGTTTTTAAATATCTCTTAATGTTCTCCTCTCTACCACCAAAAAAGAGAAAAACTTTATCTTCTTCAAAAAGAGTTATCAAAGAATATGAATTGGAAGAGTATTAAATAATTTTAGTGTTAAAAAAGTTAAAAAACAGGTTTCGAGACATAAAAACCGCTTTAAATGATTTACTGAATTTGGGTTTAAAATGAGCTGTTAAACCTCTTTTTAATAACAGAATAACTTCCTTTAGTATAAAGTCAGCTTTAAACAATATCTAAAAGATAAATTATAATGATCATAAAATCCAAATATTATTTAAGCATCTAAATGATTGATCGTTCTATTGGTTGTGCTGTTTATTCTTCAGATATAATAACTAGGGTTTTTGAATGTTTTGCAACAATTCGTTCCACTTACAATTAATTCTCTTATGGTTATCAGTTGCTAAGTATTTTTAGTTGCTAAGTATTTGAAAGTTTCCAAGTATTTGTAATAACTTCAACTAGTATAACTTCAAAAATAAATTCTCAAAATGATTTAGCTTTTTTAAGTTCTGTGCTATCAAGCCTTAAGAAAAAAAAAATTATATTTTATTGGTAGATAAGGTTTATGTAAAAGCTGCATTATATCAAAGTAGAAATATTTTTAGAAAAGCTGTTAATTATGCAGAAAAATTAATTATGTTAACTATGAAGAGAGATTTTTTTTTTTTTCAAATGTCTTTACTGGCAATCACCAAAAAACGTTTAAAAAACTTGTTTATAAAAGAATCAAAAATTATGTATGAACAATTTCTGAAGTAATAAAAAACATAATCATTTAGTCTCAGGTATTAAAATGGGATAGTAGAAATTTGTTGGAATGTTAACACTTAAATAATATTTCTTCTTTTTTTATTAAGCAGGTGATTTTTATTGTGATATAAATTTTTTAGGAAGGCAGAGGTTGCAAATTTTAAAAGTTGTTTTATTAGGTTTACAACGTTTTATAATTTTCCACCTTATTGCGTATTTTATGGTTGTTTTTTTTTAAATTTAATTCAAGTTTGATATCATTTCTATATTTCAGCGCATTAAAAGATTTTAAATGATTTGCATATCTAAGCTTGAATGTTGTCTCACTAATACTAAAAATACTTTTTTCTTTAGGATTAAGAGTTTCACAAATCACAGTAGTTAAACAACTTAATAATTATTGATTGTTTAATGGGTCTTTATGATGCAGATACAAGTTCTTGAATTCAAATTTGTTTCACTGTGCAAAATTTTGTGGTTTTGTGAACTAATTATGTATTTTATATTTTGCATACAGCTATAGCTTTGATTGAATTTCTGTTGAATATTTTGTGAAATTCATGGTGCACTGCAGGTTAATTAATGCTAGTATACAAATGCTTAATTTTGTTTCCACATTCCAACTAAATGGAGGGTTGTACCATATGATTTTTAACTTGCAATTTTTGTTTTTAGTCAAGATAAGTGGAGTTTGGTATTTAAGCTTACAAATATAGTTTGACTTTTTTAATGCTTTTTTGTAAGGTGGGATGGCTTTATTGAGAACAAATTTATTTACTTATGTGGCAGATAATTTTGATTCAACAGTGCGATTCATATTAGATGAGTGATTGGAGTCACAGTGAACATTGTCATATTTACAGTATAGTTGAAATGAATTATTCTTGAGATGAAGTGTTGTGTTGAAATTCACTTTCCCCATACTGCAATAAATGGAAATAATAAGATAATTACTTTTAAAATTTTTCAAAAAATGTTCCCTGGGTCTCTCCATCTGTTCGCCACTTCTGTTCCTAAATACTGCCAGCCCGTCATCTTGATGTAATACAAAATCATCTTTATTATAATATTGTTAAAGTTAAAATCAAAAAAATTTTTTCACAAACTCACATACTTCAACACCATCATAAGCCCTTATTGTAACATCAACAAGTCCACTTTCGTAAGCGCCCATTGTAACATCAAAGAGTATAGCTTTTTTTCTTAATCTACGGTTCTTTGTTGTTAAAAAAGAAAAGCTTTTCTTGCTTATCTTAACAATGTTTTGTATTCAGTATTTGTTATAAGATAATGTTTAGCAAAGTTGATTGGATTGTTGAGCATTTTTTCAATTATTGAAAGATAAAAATCATTGATTTCAAAAACTTAAATATTGTAAAGATGATTGTCCTTAATTTTCATAAACATTTAACATGCTTAGCCATTGATTTTAAAACTTCTGAGTTTATTGTTAATTTTAGATAAAATAGTTTTTCTTATTCTTTCTATATTTTTTTTCTAGATTCAAAATTTGTACTGTAGGGTTATTAACAAAGTTTTCTTTGTGACTTTAAATTAAAAAAATACTTCGAAGATCCGTTTATTTTGATTTTTTTATAAACATCATGGTTTTTATTTTTATGATAAAATGGTCATGATCAAAAACATGCTTACCTTCTTTATTTATTTTATCATTTAATTTTGAATTAGTTTTCTTATAGGTTGTAGTGATAGCATTTTTTAAATTGTGGTTATATTTTTCTTTGGATAACTTATACAAATATGATGTTTGTCTATTTTTATTTTTGATATTTGTATTGGTTTTACAAAATTTTTTAATAGCTAATGATTGTCATTTAGCCAAAAAAAAAATTACCAGCATACAATACTAACCAGTTTGTTTCACAATATCGAAAGCCATTATCAAATGTCAATAATGTTACTTTGGAAAGTAGTTTTGTTGGTGGAGAATCTACTCATGTAAGTTTAAAAAAAAAATTATTTTTGTATTTTTTTTTTTTTTTTAGTTTTATTTGCAATCTTTATTAAAAAAACTTTTTTTTGAGTTTTTAGGAACTACTCATCAAAAGTATTCTTGCAAAGCCCTTCAAAGTGCCAATGAAAAATTTTAAGGGTAATTTACCTATTTATGATTAAGTTGTAAAATAGGTTAGGTACAGATTGCTCAGTTCAAAACAACATGCATAATCACCTTGATAATTCAAAGTGGTCCTGAAATCAGATGAAAAATGGTATTCTGTTTTTGTTTGCTGAGATAAGTTTATAATGAACTAACATCTGAACTAGTAATTGACTGAAATTCTGTTTCAGTATCAGTTTTAGCCAAAATTTCAATTCATACTAATGCCAAAATTTTGGTTTTGGTACTTTTTATAAATTCGGTAAAAAGCAAAATTTAGTTTAAAAAACATACCGAAAACCAAATAATTTGTAAGATTTTAAACTTTTATCTAATTTAAAAAAACAGTTATTTTTGAGAGTTCTCATAAAAATTTTGAGAGTTTTGACAAAATACTTGAAAAGAATCTTGTTTTGCAGAGAAAATCGGCCAGTTGTTAACTTTTGCTGTTAACTTATGTATTAAATCTCAATTTGTGAAACAGGTGTAATCAATTGTAACAACACACAAATAAAAAAACAACAAATGTAAAGTTTAATTTTTAAATAAATTTTTTTAATAAAATTATTTTGACTAGCTGAAATGTGGGTATCGGTTTCAGTTCAGTTTCTGCACCAAACTAGAGTATCCGAAATTTTGGTTTATTTTGGTTTCGGTTTCCATTATCCATTTCGGTTTCCATTATCCATCCATTATCACTTAATGAATGTTCAACATAAAAAACATTAAAACATTTATTAATCTCTGTTGTTTTGACTAGCAAAATCCATTCTGAGAATAATATTCGATCCCCACCATGTCCCTGGTAGTACTGCACTAACTTGTTTCTTTGCGCAATTAAAGAAGCCTCCTCGACTGTAGTGCCCTTCTCAGCCTTATGAAGATAAATTAACATTATAAAAAACTTTTTTGAGGGTAATGTAATTTTTTCTCATTTTCTTTATTCTGCCAAAATACCTATCACAGGGCATGCAACTTTGATCTGGAATGGAATAATTATTTAAAACTTACCTGATAAAAGCATTCGTGCAAACAGTACATTTAAATACCTATTTTTATAATGTGAAACTTTTATTCACAAGTATTACTAGTTAGTGAATGTTGCAGATAAGCCAGAAATGTAATAACAAAGAAAAAAATTGCTACATTTGCTTCCTTCACAGCAAAACATTCAGCATAAGCAAACATTTGTGCAGTCAATAATAGCTTCATAAATGCTCGAGTAGAGTAGCTAAGTTGTCTTTTATAATACTCTCGTCCAAAGACATTTAAAGGTAGAGACAAATTTTTCTCTTTATATATTGTAGACAAATTTTTCCCTTAAAATACTTTTTGTATTGCAGCAACATTCAATAAGTCATTAAGATATTTGGTCTTTATAGTTTGTTGTTTATTCTATTGTAGTGGCTCTCATAAGCTGGAAAATTTTTCAATGTATTCTCAAACACAATTTTTAATACTTCATTAAGATTTTGTGGTTGTCATGTTTACCTCTCATTAATACTTTTAGAAAAAATTTTAGAACATTTTGTTTTAGTCTTGAAAATTTGATTTCATGCAACTAATGTAACTAAGCAACTAATGCTGCCTGATGGTATGGTTTTGCTTTTACCAGAATAACAGAATAAGAATAGCTACTTCTTTTTTTTTTTTTTTTTGCATTTTGTTTTATTTTCGGTGAATGTAATTTTCAGATTTAACAGATACACATCCATGGATACACATCCATGGGTACACGCAAGTAAAGATTTTTACTTTTGTGATTTTTTTAAACCAAGAAAAAGAAACAAAAATATATATTTTTTCTTATTTTGTAAATATTACCATACGTATACATCAGAAATCCACTATAACAACTTTTCTGGCTGGTTTTTGTATTTTACCATAGTATGTATGTGCTTCCACTAAAGGATAAAAAAATATTAATATGTTAATACTAAATATTATAGTGTAGGTCCCTATATATTGAATAATGAGCAGTGAATATAAAGTCTAAGCCTACAATCAACTACTAAATTTAGCTTACAATGTTTTTAAAATCAAACAATTTTTTGCTTTTTTTGATTTACACACTACATAGATTAAAATAAGAAAAATTTGAAACACTACTTTGTCTCATTATGATAAAAAAATGTGACATAAGCACATTTTGAAGTAGATCCTTCAAATTAGAAATGAAAGATTTGACTATCTAGCAACTTGTTTTTAGTGAAGTTGCTTTTTGCTTTGAACTTTTTTTGAAGGTTTTTGGATTTTTTTTAAACAAAGCTTTGATATTGAAGTCTTATTATTAAAGTTGTTTTTAGCATCGCTGTTTAAACATGTATTAATTAACTGACTGACCTGTGAATGTTTGAAAACTTTTGCAATTTATGGATCACACTGCAGGCAAGTAAAACACAGAGCAATAAAAGTAGTTCTAGATTAAAAAACTTTAAAAAATTAATAGAACAACTCCAACAGAATACCAACAGATCTAACTCATGCAGTTGTAGACAATGTGTTCGTAATCATCATGCAGTTGGTAAAATTCTTGCCACAAAATCTGGACAAAATCTTGTCCTCTGCCTCTGAACGTACCACACCTTAACCTTTTTTTGTGTACATAGGCCTTGTTAAACCAAGTTCATATTTGGAGTTTAGGGTTGGGAGAGAGTTAAAAATGTTTTGAAAAATTAACTCTGAAGACCTCGTAGCTTCCTTAAGCTTCGGCTGTAGTACCCCTCTGGAATCTTGGGTAGGTAAGTTTATTTAAATTTTTTTTAAAAAACTCCTGTAAAAGACCACTTTTTTTAATTTTGGTTGAAAAGTTTCAATTGCTATTTAGTAAAATCTAAAATGATATTTTTTCATAAAATGATTTTTTTTTTTGGTAATTTTTATATAATTTGGCTTTATTAAAAACCCAACAAATTGAGGGAAATTTTTTTGTATTATTGTTCACAGGTTCACCCCATGGTCGGAGTTTGGGTATGAGAAAGTCAATGAGTAAACTTTGCTTATATGATCCATTTGAAGAGGGAGCATTAGTTTTATATTCACCTCCTGAAGTATCTGCTCATAATAAACTTACATCAAAAAGGTATATCTAGTTCAAAAATATTTAGACTCATCAATGTTAGGGATGGTTTTTAAATAACATAGGTAAAAACATCTACTCTTGCCCAATTTTCCGATAATTAAAATGACCAGATTTCAAAAATATTAAATATACTATAGAGGTTACCTAAGACTTTTAGATATTAGTATTAAATTTTAAATTTTCAAGAGTTTTGTACCTGTTAAATTTTGTAGAGTTTTGTTCTCCCATAAGAAATTTTTAAAAGCTGTTTTCTTAAATCCATTATCATGTCCATTATCGTTTTATTATAAGGAACATGTTTAGACGTTAAGAGCAGAACTTTTTTAAAATGCTGTATTAAGAACCATCTTTATAAGTATTTATTAAGTGTTAATTATTTTTATATTGCTTATTATACCAGGTAACAATAATAATAATAATAATAATAATAAAAGGTATTATTACTATTATTATTATGATAATAACTCTTTCTTGTAGATTTAAATTTTACTTTTAGTGAGGAAAATCTTGTACATGGTAATCCAATTACTTTATAATACCTTTATATATATATGTATATATATATATATATATATATATATATATATATATATATATATATATATATATATATATATATATGTATATATATATATATATATATATATATATATATATTTATAAATATATATATATTTGTTTGATTTTGTTTGTATTTTTTTTTATTTGTATATGTTTTTATTATTTGCTATTATTTCTGAACAGTCTTATACACACTCTATGTATTTAAAAGCTTACAAAAGCTTACATACTTGTTCACATTATTTAAGTAAAAGTCAAATAAAATATAATTAAAACTTTAATGCATGAATAAATAAATTTTAATTTGTTGCTTTTTAAATTGGTAGAAATGTATTTTCAATTTAGCTTGGTGCTTGTCACTAGACATGTTTTATGACAGACTTAAACCTTTCACATTGGAAAAGATGAAAAAAAAATTTTGTGAACATCATGACAGAAAATAAATAAATAAAGTACATATAGCAAGTTTTTTCAATAATGTTTTTTGTGTGTCATGGTTTTTGATAAATTCTCAGTCAAAGAATATTTCCATTGCTCTTAGGGTCAGTGTTAATTAAAAGCAGTAAATTAAGACAAGTTAAACCAAGCTTTAACAAAGTATAAAAAATGTTGTTTATGGTTAATAAGAATGAAGATCATAGTGTTAGAGACAATATAGGAATGATAAAAATGGTTAAAAAAACTAATTTTGTTTTCTTTCTTTTTCCAGAATCTTTTACTCCAACATTCAATTGGAACAGAATCTTTTAATTTTTTTATTAAATTAATTGGTGCTACTAAAAAAAAAGTTTATCTATGGGTTTACATTATAGGAAAGTATAGGAAAAAAAAAATATTTTGGATAATTTTAATTTATGAATTTGAGTGTTTTATGTTTTTTTAAAATTATTTAAGAAAGATTACTGCTGTAATAGTTATATCAAAAAAAATTTTTTTTAAATTTACTACTTTATAGTTAGAGGTACAAACCTTATCCTATAATTTTTTTCTAAAACATATTTAGACCAAATCCCAAAATTAGGGTTAGGTCTGTTGGTTTCTTTTTTTTTTTTTTTTTTTTGTCTTTTGGAACACCTTGCTGTATAATATACAATATGTTTGCTTTTAAATTTTACAGTTGTTGTTGATCCGCAGCTGACATCTGTACTAAGGCCACATCAGAGAGAGGTTTTTTTATTAATACTGTTTCCTTTTATTTCATATATACACACACACACACACATATACATATGAATAAGTTACAAGAAATAGGGGATTATACTTTTTTGTTGTCCTTTAAACCTTTTTGAGTGTCATAAGTTTTAAGAAAAAGTTAAGTATCACGAATAGCACTATGAAAGTTTTAATCAAAATGAAATCTTGTGTTTCAAAAAATTCAAGAGTTCTGTTTATAATTAATATAAATTTTTATTTTTTTATAGATTTTTCAAAATCTAATAAATAATGATTAATTTTAGTTTTATACTAAGAAAAAGGTTTATAGAGTTTCAATATTTGTTTTAAATATGTATGACATTGTTGTGGCATTGTTTACCAGTTAATGTTTGAAAGCACTGTTAAAGCCATCATAATTGTAGTAACTGCTAACTTATATACAAAATTATAAAGATAAGATGTATAACAGGGTTTTTAAAGAACTTTTTGATGACCACAGTTCATCCCCAGTTTCCTGTATGAAAAATAGATGAACTTTGGTTTGAAAGTAACTAAAAAGTCATTGGTTTCATATACCTTTTGAAAACAGTCACTTGTTATAATACACAAGGTATTGATCTTATGTTTTTCTAAAATCTGTTTATTTCATGATGCCACCTTTTTGAATTTATTTGCAGTATGTTATAAAATGCACAAAAATTTGTCCTTTATGATTATTATTGTTTATGCATCAATATTAAAATCTTACACACCATATATGCCATAATATGACATATATGGTGTGTAAAGTGATGACATTAAAAATTATAATCATAAAAAACAGATCAGTAAATTAAGTAAATTAAGTTAATATGACATACCAACTTAATTTACTTACAAGTTTATTTTTTTTTACAAATATTTTTATTCTTTTTTCTGCTTTTCCCCTCCAATCAATATGAACTTTGCTAATGTTTTTTCACTTCATTATTTTTTATATTTCATTTTTACTTTGTTGTTGTTAAAATACTCAAATAAATTTTATATTTATTTTTATTTCAACTTAATATCAATTTAACTTACAAGCGCAGTTTAATTTTTAATTTTATTTTTTAGGGTGTTAAATTTTTATATGACTGTGTTGTTGGTAATCGTATCAAAGATAACTTTGGTTGCATAATGGCTGATGAAATGGTGATTATATAAGTTTATCTTATACAGCATGTTGATGCTGTTATAAAGGAGACATTAATTAATTCATTTTTAGATATAAAATAATAAGTAAATTAAGAATTAGTTTAGTAATTTATTATAATTTGTTATAACTATAACTTATAATGATGTAATTATAATGTTGTAGTAATATATTTGTTGTTATTATTTTGTTTATATGTTTTAGTTGGTTTTTAATTTTTTTTTTTTAATTAAAATTCACCAGTTTGTATTTTATTTTCAAATTACAGGGTCTGGGGAAAACATTGCAATGTATAACGGTGCTTTGGACATTGTTGGTGAGATATTATGCATTTAATCTCTGTGGACTTTTTATTAATGAAATTAAAAAAAAAAAAAATTATTTGCTTAAATAATATAATTCATATAGATAACCTTGTGAATGAGGTTTTATTTTTGTTTAGAGACAAAGTCCATCAGGTAAAAAGTTTATTTTCAAATAAAAAATTATTTATTTTTTATAACACTATGAGCAGGAATTTTTTTAACTTTATTAAAATATATAATCATTATTAATTTAAATTAAAATATTATAAACAAATTTTTTTTTTGGTAAACCAGAAATCAAAAATTATTAATCATTTACATGTTTAGGTAAACCAGAAATCAACAAAGCAATAATAGTTGCTCCTGCAAGTTTAGTAAAGGTAAGTTTTATTCACTTTTCATTAATTTAGAAAAAAAAAATTTAAATTAATAAAAAGTTTTAATTATGATCATCATCATCATCATCATCATCATCAACAACAACAATAATTAAATATAAATACATCATCATAAAGAAGATATGATCTATTACAATTTTGTTTATCTGAGTTTCTATAGATAACTTTCCATGTAAGGTCACATTCTTTTGTAAACATGTACATGCATACTTGCAAGCAAAATATTCTAAAATCGTTATTACTTGTTATTATTGTTGTAATAAGAGTTTTTTTGCATTTTGTTTGTACCCTTCTGTAAATTTTTGACAGTATTTTGAAAATTGGTAATTATAAATAAGTTTTTTAAAACAAATTTTAATATTATATGTTTTTATTATTTTGAAATTTATTTATAATTAAAAATAATTACATTTTTTAAAAACAAATTCTAATATTAAATGTTTTTATTATTTTAAAAAACTTTTTTTTTTAAGGATTTTTATTATTTAACTTTCAATAATTTTCTGGAAATTTTAAATTCAGGCGCTTTTGGAATATATCAGTTTAACCAATCTCTTTTAAGCTTTTTAAATTCGTATTGGTTTCTAAAATTAACAATAACTTAAAATTGTTGAAAATAATTAATAATATCTTAATTGAATACTTTAAGGGTCTAAAAATAGGAGAAGCAATAAAATATACAAAGAATCTAATTCTTAAAAAATGGGCAGGTTTTACTGGATCCATTTACAATCAAACCAAATAAATAGAACAATATTAATTGTTTGCCATAAGTTACATGACAAGATATTATTCAAACTTTAATTGATACATCTCAATCATAACTTATAAATCTTTAGAAGCATATGACAATTTCACTCACTATGTACAAGAATGTTTTTATAATAAAATATCAAATGATAGCAAATTTTGTATTTTTAAAACTAAATTAATTTGTTAAAAGTTTTATTTTTAAAACAAAACTTTCCAATTAAAAGTTCAACGAAAGTAATTAAAATATTTTGCCAAGTCCGAACAGTTAAAATATGTATGATGTATGGGCTTGTCTTGAGAACTTGGTTGGGTACTAACTGCTAATTACTTATGTATGACTGGATTAGGCTCAGCATGTAGCTATGTTGCAGCATTATTATTTAAGTTAAAAGCAGTTTTGCATAAAAAAAGCTAAATGAAACTTTATTTCCTAGAAGTACTCTATGTGTATCAAAAAATTGTAAAAAGTTTATTCAACCTGCTTTATTGCAGTTCATAAATTTACGATGACCTTGAAAAAATCCATTACTAAAAGATTTGGTTACAAGTTAAAAAATATTTCTCCACTCAAAATCCAATGAAAGATGAACAGTTAACAGCTAAAGATATAGAAGAACTTTATAAAGTTAATCCATAATCTGCAATTTTTACAAGTATTAATCTTTCAGAATTTATCACTATTGAATATGTCTTAAGTGTTACTGACACCTCATCTGAAGCAGAAGAGGTAGCACTTTCTGAAGTTCTCATATTATTATCAATTTAAAATACAACTATATGTATTCCTCTTTCCTGAGGCATTTTTCCTGAGATTTTCTTCTTTTCTCTACTGTAGCTAAAGGTGAAAAGTGCTTCATTTTAACAATTAAAAAATCATGCAGATTTTATTTCCAAAACAGTTGATAAATTTTTTACGTAATTTAAAATCATTTTATTATTGGAGCTTGTAACAAGAAGAAGTGATAAATTAAACATTAAACAGTAAGAAAGATTACTGCATATGCCAAAAACCCAGTTTTAAAAATATTATCCTACAAATTTACAAATTCCAGATATGAATGGTTTCATTATGCTTGCCTTGGAATAAAAAGGGCTCCAAAAAGTACTAAATGGTTATGGAAACAATATAAAACCAGAAAATAGACTAATAGACTTTAAACTTGTTTACTATTATCTTCAACATTTTTTTATTACTCTTTAACATGTTTAAATTATCTTCAATATTTTTTAAATCTGAATTCTAAAATCTTTTAGAATTTCTTTAAATCTAAAAGATACATATCTATAAATTTACTTTTACATTTATACTAATCAAGTACTTATATTCAGATTAACAAGGACTTAAATAATTACCATGATATTATTTTATAGATCCAGTGATTACCAGTCATATGAATAATGAAAATCTTTTTTATTCATCCAATCTTTCTGCACAAACATTAGATATTTAAATGTGTCTACTTTTTCTCCAGATAATTGTTGTCTGTCTTTTATAAAATATTTTTAATGTTGCCCAATGCATTTAGTTCATCTTTAATCCTCTGTCAGCAACTTAGTCACCAGGTTTAAGTTTCTGATAAAAGTTTGACTTAACAGTTATTTTTTTCTTTGACGCATATCCACTCTAGCTAGGAGATAAAAAATTAATTGCTCCAGCTGGTTTTATACCAAATAGATATTTAATTGTTATTTTTGTAATTAAAAAATTTATTCACAAAAAACTGAAGTTTTTTTGTGAATTAGTAAACAAAATTTTTCAGTGAAAACGGGCTTTAAAAATCCGAACAAAAGTAAATCTTGATTTATCAAAAATGAGCTTTTAATTTATTTCTCACCAAAGTATAAAACTTATATCAACATATTAAATCCTATTGAAGTTATTATAAAACAGCAGTTAGAAAATGCGCATTTGACCACAAGCCACGCTAGATTTAAATAGTTTTTATAAAAAAATACTTACATTGTAACATAAAAAAGTTCCCACCCTCCTTTGTGTTAACCCTCCTCCCTTCCATATTTATTAGATCTGGACTAAAATTGCTAGAACTTTGAGAAGCAATTCCTAGGTGGTGAAATATAGATAAACTCCAGTCGATATCTTTTATTCAGTCGAATTCTTTTATATATATTTAAAAAAAAATGTAATCCAAATTTATTCGAATAGTCTTGCACAAAAAATTGAACAACTTTGAGACATTTCAAAAAAAAAAAATTTGAGACTATTGCAACATTAACTGATGTCTCAACAATCTCAAAGTTTTCACTTCATCATAAGGTATTAAAAGTTATAAGATCATATGATTTAAAGATATTAATTCATTTTTAGATATTAATGAGTTCCTCACTCAAATAAATTATTTTTAAAAAATGTGAAAAGGTTTGCATATTATTTTAACACAAACCTCAAACAAACAGTTTTTTTTTACACAAACAAAATAATATAAGTGTAGTATAAGTTAACATATAATGTAAATAATATAAGTTACAAATAAGTGGATGTGGATAAAAAAGTTACTTAGTTGTTTCTTGGTTTCAAAATCTTCAGTTGACTTTTACAGTTATTGCTATTTTAGAACTGGGACAAAGAAATTGAAAAATGGTTAAAAGGGCGAGTGCACACACTAGCAATTGATTCCGGCTCAAAATCAGAGATTGACGACAAATTATGTAATGCCTTGATTATTTATTAATATATATTGTCTTGATTATTATTTTTATTTTAAAACTAAAGTTAATTCAAAATATTAATTCTTTTTATTTGTGCTTTCATTTGTAATTTTTTTTTAATTATTATTATTATTTGAATTTTTTTGTACATAGCTTCTTTTATGAGCCAACAGCAAGTTCGAGCACCCACGCCAATTCTTATCATTTCTTATGAAACTTTTCGGCTTCATACTGATGTCCTTCACCGCTCTCCTGTTGGTCTTGTAATTTGTGATGAAGTATTTTTAATTTTTTTTTTTTTTGTCTTATTTTTGTTATTACACCTCATTTTTGTTTTTTTGTTTTTTTTGTTATTACACTTCATCTGACTTTGCACAGCAAAGATTGAAGTTACTTTTTCTATTAATCTGAAACAAGAACCTTAAAAAAAACCAGAGAAACAATTTGAGTCCAAATCTACCAGGGATGTGGTGGGGATCAAACTCGGAACCTCTCGCTTGTGAAGCGAGCGTTCTGCCACTACACCACTATTGCATTACTACTTTACACAGCTACAGACAAATTAAAATATTTTGAACATGTTTTTCTAAGCCTTTTTATATACTTTTAACATTAAAAAAAAGTTGTTTCAGTAAGACATTTCAAAGAGTTAGACTGAAGAAATAAAATTTTTAAAATTTGTTTTGTAATGCGACCCACGCATAACTGTTTATGTTACTGTTGTTACATTAAATTTTGGTAAATAAAAATTTTTGTTTATAAAGTATCCTCCAAAACTAAGGAAATAGTTAATTTTATAAAAACACTATAGTATGTTAATTACTATATCAGTTTTAATATAAAAATATTTTACTTTAAGTAAAAAAAGCATAAGCAACTATCGTATGTGAGATGTATATATATATTGAAATACCAATAAAACTGCAGAAAATAAAAATACATAAAAAAAGAGTTTACTATAAAAAGCATGTCAGATCAGTAGTTGATGACATATCAATAGGTTCTTAACAATCTCATGAGGCATAGAATTAATTTTGTCATTTGGAACTTGTTTCATTAAGCCAGGCAGTTTGAATAATTTATTTCTGATACAATCTTTAAAGCTACCATGCAAATGTACTATATCATCAAGTTGTTTCCATAAATTCTAGGAGATTAGGCAGCCCATTGCATTACAGTGATTTTGTTTGTATCCTGCCTTTAATGAGTTTTGAAGGCTGATTAGAATCATTGTTCTGCTAGAGTTTTCATCATAGAAACATTTTTTTATCTACAAAAATATCATTTGATTCTTCAAAATTATATATGTTTATGTCAATTATACCTTTAATGCGATAGAGTGGTCCTAATCAAAATAATCCTAAAAACATCCTTAAACCATCAAGCATGTTTCAGGGTTCCTATAGTGTACATTGGTTTTAATTATTTACTGATTGAGTTTCTCACATTTTGTTTAAGGTCTGAATCTCTCAGGTTAAACTTCAACTCATCTAACCATAATATTTGCTTTATAAATACTGTACTACTATCAAATTTCTATAAGCCTTAATGAACTCCAAACATGCTTTTTGGTTCTTTGCCAATAATAATAGTTTTTTTCACTTCAAAGTTACAACTCTGCATTATGCAAGTTGCTGAACAAAAGTTGCAGTATTATCTAAAATATCAAGTTCCACTTTGTTTATAGTATTTCTAACACTATTAAATGGATTCTTTTTCATGTGTTTAATAACTCTATGATCACTATGGAAATACTTTTTTTCTGTCATCACCGTAAATTTTCAGTTTAAAAAGTTCTTTTGGTTTAATATTTGTTAATATTTATTTTATATATATATATATCAGTCAACTTATAATCGCTTTTGAAATGTTATACTTTTATATTCTGTGTACATTCACTCTGTGTAGTTCCAGCCTTCATTTTTATGTTTACTACTCTAATATTTTCTCGTCTTTCATTGAACTTGAAGTTTCTACTAAACAAGATTAGCGTTTTATGTAACAAAAAAAAATTGTTATAAAAGTATTACCTCTTCCTTAATTAAAACCATGATTTTAAATGAACAGTCATTATGATAATTGCTGTTCAACAGTTAGTCTGTATTAAAAAATCAATTTATAATTATTTTAAATATTAAAATCAATTTATAATTATTTTAAATGCTTTTATTTTCTAGAAAACCACTTTTTTATAGAGTTCATTTTGCGAGTATGAAATATAATATATATTCATGTTATTCAAACTTTAATATTTTAATTATAAATAAAGCAATTATAATTATTATCAGAAACTATTTAAATAAATAGATTTAAAAAACAAATTTTTTTTAAGGGACATCGTCTAAAAAATCTCGAAAATCAAACTTATCAAGCACTAAATCTTTTAAAAACAAAAAAAAGAATTTTACTTTCAGGTATTTATTACTATTTTGTTTGTGGTTTTATCAGTTAATACACCTAATACTATTGTTATTATTATCACAGTTATTACTTTTTTTTATTGCTTTCACTGCTACACTTTTTATTTCACCCAATTTTTATTGATGTGAATTAAAACATCTTTAAAATATTTAATTAAATTAGCTCTTTGTTAAATAATAAAAAGTTACAGTTTTTAATGGCTTTGATTTTTTTTTAAACATTATATAAATAGCTATTTGTCAATGTTTCTCGTTGACTTTGTTTGATGGTGCTTATTGTTTTAGATTGAAGTTTTATGAATTTTAATTGGTCTTGAATCTTTTTTATAATTTTAGGAACACCTATTCAAAATGATTTGCTTGAGTATTTTAGTTTAGTTCATTTTGTGAATGGAGGAATGTTAGGTAAGTTCAAAAAACATTTAACTGAAAACATATTACATTTTAAAACTAATTTTACAAATAATATAATGCAATGTTATTAAAATAACTGTTTTTATATAAAAATAGAAGTTTTCATCATCTAGAAATCAAGACAATATATTTGTCTTTTTTTACTTACATTAAGGTACTGTATCTGAATTTCGCAGAAAATTTGAAGCACCAATTCTTAGAGGTCGTGATGGTGCTGGTTCTGAAAGTGATCAAAAAATTGGAGAAGAAAAATTAGCTGAAGTAAATTTTTATTTTTATTTTCTTTATTTTTTTTTTGACAATCAAGGTTGTTGTGCAGAAAAATATGTTGAAAAAAGAGAAAAAGTTTTTATCCAAAAAACTCTTTTTTTAGCTTTTGTCCATTGTCAGCAAATGTATTATCAGAAGAACATGTAAGTTCAATAACTTTTTTTTACCCAATAAAATGTCAAATATCTTTTTGTAACATTTCTTTATATTTTTTTCAGCTGCAATTCTTTCCAAATATCTACCAGTTAAAAGTGAGTTTTTTGATATTACAATTTCAGTCATTTATTTTTTAATATAAAAATATTATTTTATTATCTTGTATTTTCGATCTGAGTATTATGCAAATTAGGGTGTTCGAAACAAATCCTGGTTATGTACCTTAAATAAAAGCAAAATTTTAAGCCTCTAAACCTTCAGGAAGTGCTAGGTGTAGGTTTCCCTTTTTTTTTTAATGTCTAATATTTAAATAATAAAACAATCCAAAGAAAATATAGTTTAAACCAAGGAGTATTTGTATTCAAAACTGCACCTAACTACCCTATGACATCTAACAAGACAAAATTAAGGTTACGTTATGCCAAAATGCATTAATTTAATTGAGGAAACTAATTAAATTTATTTTTTGTTTTTTTTTAAATTATTTTATTTTGTTTTTTTACTGTAAAAGATGCGCATCATGTTGCTACATTGACTATCTTATAGCTTGTTGCTACAAGGGAGTGCTGTTACATTGACAATCTTATTGCCTGCTGCTACAAGAAAGTATCACTACATTGAATAAGGGTTTGGTTTAGGCAGGCAGTCTATCAATTAATAAATTTTTTTTTTTTAAGTTTTAACTTTATCAGTTCTTTATAATAAATTAAAAAAAAAAAACAACATAAAACTGACCATTTATTGGAAAAATTAAAAGTGACCAAGCAAAGATACAATTTTGTTGACATCAGCAAAGATGTCAACAAAACATCAGCAAAGATGTCATTGACATCAAGCTTAGATGTAATTTTGTCTCCTCCAATGACAAAAATTTCAGTTTCTTATTAGTTAGTTGAAGCATCAATAAATATATCCTATTTGTCATAAATCTAACTTCATGACAAGCAAGGTGTTGATGAAGTTAAAAGTTTGGTACTTTGTTACCCTAATAGCAAGAACCTAGTTCACATAATCTTATATAGTCTCTGCTTTTTTTGATAAAGGTTTTCAGGGTAGTTGCTTAAGTTAAGTATTCTTTAGCTTTTTGTGCAATCTGATGCATGTAAGAATTGTTTTTAAAAATGTTAAAATTAAATCTGTCTAATGAGTTAATATCTTCATTGCATACCTGAATATTTTCAATGCATGCCAATATTTTTTAAAATTTGAAAACAGATTTTTTTTTTGTGCTTTAGTTTTTCCTGTTAGTGCTTACACTAAATGACTGATGTGTTTCTCATATATGTGTCGACAACATAAAAGCCATATATGTGCTTCTTGACTACATATCTACATATAAGTTTAATCCTCCATTATGTGCACCAGTGTTTGAAGCATTTGTGTCAGTGCACCAGTATTTGAAGCATTTGTGTCAGAATTTGCTTGGGACACTCCTTGCAGAATATCAATACTATTATCATCCTCAGGAGCCATCACACTTTCTGCACACTTTTTCATTTTAACAGTAACATTTAAGATCTTATTCATTACACAATTTACCATCAAAGTGAAGCAAGAGTTTCTTATTGATTAAAACATTTTTGTAACTATTTCTAATTTCTTTCCCTTTGTTTTTGAATGTACAAAATCTACTTCTATGGGTTCCTGATTTTGACAAAACAATACCTTCCAAATTATGATCTGCTTTAGAATTGTAGAAAGAATTGGTGCATGACCACTTACATCAAAATAAAATCTTGTAGCGACTTCACTTGTCGCTTTTATTAATCAGTCTCCTATATTGCAAGGTGCAGCTCATCAGATCCATTTTTTTTTATTTGCTAATGGCACATGGATTTTTTATCTTCTTTACTAGATACATCAAAAAATTAATCATAAAATGAATTTAACTCAAAATATAATCATATTGTCTCCCAGTATGGTTTTCAAAAAAATTTTTACCCTCTATGAACATTTAAAGTTTTTATCTAACTCGTACCTACGTTTGATTCTCTTTCAGTCAATCATGTCAATATCCTGAGTAACATATATTTATAATCTAGTCAACTTTTGGTCGGTTAAGAATTCAATGTCCTCTTTAATGGCATCAGGTAATCTGTTGTGGTCAGCTTTGGTTTTCATTACAATATTTTTGCAGTCTATGTCAAAAAGTTTGTTTGATGTTTTTTTATATTCGGTTTTGAGAATAGAAGAAAAATTCAATCTATGGAAAGTTTTTTTTTATTTCTATTTTAATATATGAAATAAAAAAGATGTTTTTTATTTACACATTTACAACTTTAAAAGACATTGACGGTCAAAATAAATAAAAAATTATTTATTGTAAACATATTGATAAAATCTTACTTTTTAAAGTCTATTTGCTTTCTCCATTTCTTGTTAAGCTTTTCAATCTTATCTCTAATGGTCCAACTTTTCATCAAAAAAGTTGGACCATTAGAGATAAGAGTTCTTTTGAAAACCCATTCTGCACCAGATATTTACTACTTCTTGACAATTTGACAATTGACAAGACAATCTTTAATATTTGATACACTCCTTTCTGCATGGAGAAACTAATATTTGATTTAGTTGACTGATACTTTAATTGTATTGAGGAAATAATATGGCAATATCTTCTTAAAATGTCACCATTTGTTGGCAAATGGTGTTTGGGAAGCTCTAAAATGGGTCTATTTATTTCTATTTTACTATTTTTTATATATCTAAAAAACAAACTTTATTGTTATATTGATTTAATTTATGTTATTTATATATTTTATATATATTATATAATTATATATATTATATAATATCTGTAATATATATTATATAATATCTGTAATAGTATTAAAAAGTAAGTAGTGCTTGCTTATTTATAAACTCAAAATAATTAAATGAGAAAGAGGTGCAAATGTATTATTTACGTGGAAAACTATATAAAAATCCAAAAATTTATGTTTTTCAGTATTTACACCTAACACTTCTTAAGGTTCTTAAAACGGTGAAAGGTAAAAAAAAAAAGTTTTATGAAGAAAAAAAAATATCAAAAAACATTTTAATAATAAAAGTTTAAAAAATAAGTGTATAAACAAGAATAAAGGATTTAAAGAAATAAAAATAAAAAACAAGAAAAAAAAACTAAAATAAATAAAAACGAAGTTGAAAGAAAAAAGTCTTTAAAAATGAAAAATAATAAAAAAGAACTAAAATTTTTTTCTAACAACAATATTTTATGAAAAGAAAAGAAAAAGAACAATTTTAATTAATTTTGTTTATATGTTGTGTATTTCTGTATATAAAAAATGTTAAATCCATTTTTTTTTTTTTTGTATTTTTCTCTGTCAGTTGTTGTTGCTTTTTATATATCTTGATATTTACTTTTGTTTAACTAATCAATGTAATGCGTAATTTAATCGATGTAATGTGTAATTTAATTACTGTAATGCATAATTTAATCGATGTAATGCGTAATTTAATCAATGTAATTCGTAATTTAGGCTTTAATATTATATGAAGTAATGTATGTATATATTTTTTTTCATTTAAGTTTGCCTTTATTTTGCTTTCATATTTTTTTATGATAATTTTTTTCTCTATCCTTCTGAACTTATTTCATTCTATCTTCTTTTTTTTCATTTTTCTTTAGCCTTACTCCTTTAATATTTTTGTTCTGATTCTGATTTTTTTAAATATTATTGTTCCTTTTTTTATTACTTGTATTAACGTATTTTACTTTCTTTATTATTTCCTTGTCTTAATATTTTTTGATTAATTTATTTTTTTATTAAGGTGTCACTCCGTTGACTAGTTTTTAACTATATGAGTCATACCGAACCTAATTTTTTAAATTATAATTAAATTTGTAATTTTGGATTTTATGGTTAAGTAAATAGATAAATGAAAAAATAAAGCCCTAAATTTGGTAAAATTGCTTGTTTTTATGCATATAATTAGGATATATTTCAAACACCAAAAAAAAAATTTTTTGGGCCACTCTAATGCATAATGCAATAAACTTGACATATTTAGTTAGCACATCAGTTTTTTTACAAAACTACAAATTAAAAGACTAAATCCATTTATGTATTTATGTGAGTTATTTTATATTTGTTTGTAATTTATTTAGCTGAACAAATTGTAATGTGTAAACTAACCACATTACAGTCGAAACTGTACAAAGCTTTTGTAAATTCAAAAGTAGCACGAATGCAACTACAAGCTGATGCAAAGTTAAATGCTTCTTCACTTGCTTTTATCAACCTAATAAAAAAGTTATGTAATCGTAAGTTGTGATTTGTTTTAATTTTGATAAAAATATAAAAAATAAAAAAATATTGTTATGTTAAGTTGTCTGATACCTGTTTTTTTTTATTTATATATTTTTTTAAAGATCCGGAACTAATTTATGATAAACAAAAACTTTGTGAAGATAACCTACAAGAAGTTTTGAACGAATTTCCTCCTAATTTCAACACAAAAGTTTTTGCTTCTGATTTATCTGGTATAAATATTTTTGTTTTTCTTAAATTTTATTTTTTAAATATTAGTTTAAAGGGATCCCTAAGTGCTATAAAGATATGATCTCATATGAAAGAGCATTAAAAAAAAAATGTTTGATGTATATTATTTTTTCTAAAACGTAATAATGAAAACACACTAACAAATTTAATTTTCAAAAAAACGCTTTTCTTTGATTAAAAAAAATGCGTCTTGTCCAAAGTTTATTGACTCTATTGCCTCAAAAAATTAACGTTTGTACGTCAAATTAAACAAAGTAGACAAAATGTCATTATTGCAAACGTATTAATTGGTAATTAAATTTAAAAGTAAAGTCATTTTTTTTCTACTAACACATAATTACTTACAAGAATAAGTTTTGTAGCATTTTGTGAAAATATATTTGTAATTAAAAATTGGTTTTTAAGTTGATGTTTTTATTCAATTTTTCTATTTCAATTGTTTTCCAATAAATAATTAATTTCCACAAAATAATAATTCTTTTTTATTAGTTTTTTTTTCAAACAGTATAAAAATGCAAATAAAAGTCAGTAATTTTTTTGCTCTAACGTTTTTAAGCCTTATTTTGAACATGAAGTTTTGATAAACAAAGATAAAAACCAACTTTTCAACTTTTCGCTTTAACGACCTTGTAAAAATTTTCCACGCAGAGATTTAAAGTAATTTAAATTCAAAAATGTTTTACGTTGAAAGAAAATCTCCGCACGAAAGAGCAAATCATCTATTCATCTATCTATTCAGAATAATAAATTTTGTGTGACGTTCTTTATGTTAAAAACATTACTTTTAAGAATTGCTAAAAAAATGCTAAGCTAGAAAAAAAGTAATTAAACAAGCAAAAAAAAAAAACAAATCGCGAAAAGATTTAAAAAAAAAAAAAACTAATCACGAAAGTGTGAAAAGCAATTGCGATCGCGATACGCCTAATACGAGCCCTGTAAGACTTTTTTATAAGTTCTAAACTATTTAAAACTATTACTTAATAACTTTTTTTTAACAACGTCTTTCAACTGATTTCTATTATTCTGTTTTTGCAAAACTAATTAAAAAAACTTGATTAAAACTTAACTATTTAATCAGGACTTATTTTTACTTGAAAATCGAAGTAGATATTCTAAAGTTGTTGTGACGTACTAACATGATTTTTAACAACTAACCAGTGGAGTGCGACTCGGCAAAATTTGCATTAAATTCTTGTAATTGCTGACGCTAAGGCTTCTAGGATGTGTAGTACAGCCAGATTGTAAACATAAACAACGAAATACAAATTAAAAAATACAATATATACTTTTTTATCGCATGATTCAGTTGATTTTTATATATTTTTACTTTCAATTATTTAAAGTTGTCAAACTATAGTATAGAATACTAAACCATGTCTGCTGGATTTTACGGAGCTCTTAATTGTTATCATAAACGAGGAAAAAATGTTGATAAAAGTGTGTCATTTTTTGGCTTTCCAAAAGACAAAAATAGGTTAGTATCTATTTTATTATTAATATTAGTATAAATATATATATATATATATATATATATATATATATATATATATATATATATATATATATATATATATATATATATATATATATATATATATATATATATGTATATTATTTTTATTTCAGATGTAAGCAGTGGGTTATCAATTGCCGTCACAAAGATCTCGACAAGAAAACTTCATTAGAACTAAATAAATCATACCCTCTATGCAGTAAACATTTTGAGCCAACACAATATTATTTAACAAATATTGGAGGCAAAAGAGCAATTTTAACAGCAATTCCGACCCTTTTTGATGTACCAAATCCTCCTCACAAAATTTTTATTAAAAGAAAAGCACCTTCAGAAAAATTTCTTCTTCAGTCACACAAAAAAAGTAAATCAATTACTTATAAACAGTCTGTAAAGTTAGCAGTTTTTTCTAGTACAGACACTACCAACTCAGAAGATTTAAATATAAATGATAAAGCTAAAAAACAGATGTTAAATTTTCAAAAAGTAATTAACTTAAATCGTGTTAAAATTTATCACTTAAACAAAAAACTATTGCTTTTTAAAACACAATAAAAAATGCAATGGATCTATTGAACATATTTGTGATCTTGCAAAGAAATACCTTTCTGAAAACTAGATTAAATTTTTTGAGAGTCAACTTAGAATGAACAAGTGAACAAAACATGAAAAAAGGTGGGCAATACATGACAAACTAGTTTCTCTACGCATCTTGTATCATAGTCCTCAGGCATTTTGTATTTTGAGGTAATTTTTTACTTTGCCAAGTAAGACAACTCTTCTTGTTTTTTTGTCAAAAGCATTTGGAAACCTACAGCCTAGATTTTCTGCTAAGGTTTTTGCTTTACTCAAAATGCGAGTCAATTATATGAATGTCAATGAACGCAACTGTTGCCTTGTATTTGACGAGATGTCTCTCAAACAGCATATAGACTATGAAAGAGATCTTGACCACATTATTGGTATTGATGAAGATGGGATACCATTAAATCATGTTTTAGTTGTAATGGTTCGGGGTATTGCAATAAAGTGGAAGCAGCCAATTGCGTATTTTTATAGCAACAACTCAGTTCAATCAGTTAAATTATCACAAATAATATTAGAAGCAATAGACAAACTGACTTCAATTGGACTACATGTGCGAGCTGTTGTGTGTGATCAAAGTACTACAAGTATTTCAGCTTTGAAGTTACTAGGGTTCCTTAACACAAGACCGTACATATCGCCTTCCTCAATTCAAACAATTGTATACATAATATTTGAATTGATGAAAAATCTTTGAAATAACTTAATTAGACATGATATATCTACAAATGGAAAAACTGTATCATGGAAATACTTGCAGTCTTTTTACAATATAGACAAGCAAAATCCAGTTCGACTTGCTCCAAAGTTGACAGACAGCCTCTTGAACCTGGATCTTTACTATCTATAAGAGTAAAATTGGCAACACAAGTTTTTAGTCACCAAGTTTCAGAAGCTATGTCCTTATGTATAATCGCAAAGCTTTTACCACCTGATGCTTTGGCAAGATGTGAATTCATTAAAAAAGTTGACACTCTTTTTGATATAATGAACTCTAGAAAATTAAAAGCAGACAAACCAGCTAGGTGTGCATTAACTGAAGGAGAGACTATGAAAACCTTGGAAGATATTAAGAATTAGATTTCTACATGGCATTATGAAAATGCTAGAAGTCAGGCTAGTATTTCCAGTCACTGGGGACTTATAACAACAATAAACAACATTATGACATTGTCCAGAGAGTTGCTTGGTGAAGGTTTTCATTTTGTTTGCACATCACATTTCAATCAGGACTGTATAGAGAATTTTTCGAATATAAGAAGTAAAGGTGGTTGGAATGATAGGCCAACAGCCAAACAATTCAATTCTGCATACCAAAATGCTTTACTACTTACTTCTGTTGAACAAAGTCTAATAGAAATTGTGTTTCAGAATCTGATTTCACTGCAGCAATATTGTTAGACTTATGTCTTAATTTAGTAAATGAACTAAGTAATGTAGCAAATAACTCATTATTCAATGAACAAAAGTCAACTCACATAAGTAATGTAAAGCCTTTGATACTAATAAAGGGTTTGAAATTACAAATATGTTCTGAAACTGTAGAACAGAGTTTATGTTCTCCCTGCTGGTTGGCTAATTAAAAAAGTTTCTTTATGCCAATTATGCAAAAATATTTTATCTCAACCATCTGCTGAAATCTGTGGTAATTTTGATGAATTTGTTTGTACTTAGAAATATGAAACAAAAAATCATTCAGTAGAACCAAGTTCTTGTTTAAGTGAAGTTGTAAGAGTAATGGAAGCCATTTTCACTAACAACATTAATAAAATAATTGTATGCAAAAATATAGCAGGAACTATCAATAAAGCTATCAAGAAAGACTGCAATTTCGTTTTTTTTATACAACCTTCACCCAAAACATGCATCGCATTTGGAGAGAAAACTGATACACTATTTTGTTGATATTCGAATTTATTATTTCATCAAATTTTACAATCGTGACAGCTCTACGTTATAAAAAATGAGCTAAAAAAATGGCTCGTATTATTCATAAATAGTAAAAGATTATATTTAGTTAAAAAATGTGTATTTATTTATAATGTACTAAATTGAAATTATAAATTCTAATATCCTTTAAATTTTTTTATATTATATATAAGATTAAGAAAATAAAAATAACAAAAACATATATAGAAGCATAAAAAAACAATATTGAAAGCATATCAAAACTAGAAGGAACGTTTGAGTTGTTTTATACTAACAGAGCTCATTAAAAAATTCATACAGCAGTGGTATAATTTTAGGCTACCAAATAAAATGTCTAAATATTGAAACATTTACAAAACTATAATATAGCCTTATTGAAGAGTTGTTAAATTTTTTTTTTATGTTTAGTTTAAACCCTGATTGCTGTCTACCACCATACAGTTATATTATAAATATTTTTTTGCATATTGCAAAGGGTAGTTAAGAATTGAAACATACATATATTGAAGAAAAAAAAAAGTTCATATAACTAATACGTTTACTTCATTAGACAATGTAACATTTGTAACAATGTTACATTGTTTAAATGATTGTTACAATGATTTTTACATTGTTTGTAAACAGTGTAGCAATATATAATTTTGAAAAAGCTGTAATATATAAGTATAAAATAGTATGACATTTAATTTATGGCATTTAATGTTTGTATTTTTGTTATTTTTTGAACATTAAAAATAAAATTGAATGTTATTTTTTATTGTTCAAAATATAACAAAAAAACAAGCTTTAAATGCTATAAAAAGTTTTATACTAACATATTCCAGTGTTTTCAAAATAAACCATTTAGTTTACAAGTAAAAAAAGGTTGGTGCTACATCTTATTAAAACATTATTGTTTAAAAATAAGTTAAACCATCTTTACAAAAGCATTATTTTGTCAAAATGTATTTACAT